CACACCGGGAATGGTGGGAGTGACATCCACACTGCCATCCCAGCTCCCAAATCCCATCCCGGCTCCCAGTTCCCATCCCAGATCCCAGATCCCATCCCAGTTCCCAGATCCCATCCCATTTCCCAGTTCCCATCCCAGATCCCAGATCCCATCCCAGATCCCAGTTCCCATCCCGGCTCCCAGTTCCCATCCCAGTTCCCAGATCCCATCCCAGATCCCAAATCCCATCCCGGCTCCCAGTTCCCATCCCAGTTCCCAGATCCCATCCCAGTTCCCAGATCCCATCCCGGCTCCCAGTTCCCATCCCAGATCCCAGATCCCATCCCAGTTCCCAGTTCCCATCCCAGATCCCAAATCCCATCCCAGTTCCCAGTTCCCATCCCAGTTCCCAGTTCCCATCCCAGATCCCAGTTCCCAGTTCCCAGCTGCCATCCCCGGGTGTCCCCCCCGTGTCCCCCCCGTGTCCCCCTCACCCTCAGTGCAGCGGGCTCCGCTCCAGCCGGGACAGCAGCCGCGTTCCGTGCGGTTCCGGAGCACGGGCTGCAGCTCCGGGGGTCTGCGGGGACCCCCCGGTGTCACCCAGGGTCCCCCAGTGTCCCCCAGTGTCCCCCCGCGCCGCTGCCCCGGGCTCACCGGTAGATGTGGCAGAGGGGGGGGTCGCCGCCGGTGTCCCCGGGGGAATTGCCGCGTTCCCGGCGCGTGCGGTCCCGGTCCAGCCGCCACCCGGCCAGGCTGTACTGGTACAAACTGGGACACGGCACGGCGGCCTCGCGCCGCGGCGTCACCTCCTCGTGCTCCGTCACCTGCACCGTGCGCTCGCACCAGCGCCTGCGGGAACCCGGCGGATCCGCCGGGATCCAGCGGGATCTGTCCTGGATCCAGTGGAGATCCGCCCGGGATCCACCCGGGATCCACCCGGGATCCGCCCAGCACCCACCCGGGATCTATTCCTGCTCCTACCACCCATTCCCAGTTCCCAACCTCCATTCCCAGTTCCAATCCCTGATCTCCACTGCACATCCCAATCCAATTCCCAGTTCTCCTTCCCAGCTCCCACCCCTCATTCCCAGTTCCCATTCCCAGTCCCCCCTCCCAGTTCCCAGTCCCCATTCCCAGTTCCCGTTCCCAGTTCCCATTCCCATTCCCAGTTCCCAGTCCCCATTCCCAGTTCCCACACCCATTCCCATTCCCATTCCCAGTTCCCACACCCATTCCCAGTTCCCATTCCCATTTCCCATTCCCCATCCCATTCCCAGTTCCCATTCCCAGTCCCCATTCCCA